GGTGCAGCTTCTGCAGCAATGCGGTCGATGTACCGATCCGTCGTGGTGAAGAAGGAGCTGAGCCATAAGGCGAAGCTCTCGATTTACTGGTCAATCTACGTTCCGACCCTCACCTATGGTCATGAACTTTGGGTCATGACCGAAAGGGCAAGATCCCGGATACAGGCGGCCGAAATGAGCTTTCTCTGCAGGGCGGCCGGGCGCACCCTTAGAGATAGGGTGAGGAGCTCGGTCACCCGGGAGGAGCTCAGAGTAGAACCGCTGCTCCTCCACATCGAGAGGAGCCAGCTGAGGTGGCTCAGGCATCTGTTTCGGATGCCTCCTGGGCGCCTTCCTAAGGAGGTGTTCCGGGCATGTCCCACCGGGAGGAGGCCCCAGGGAAGACCCAGGACACGCTGGAGGGACTATGTCTCTCGGCTGGCCTGGAAACGCCTCGGCCTTCCCCCGGAGGAGCTGGAGGAAGTGTCTGGAGAGAGGGAAGTCTGGGCATCTTTGCTTAGACTGCTGACCCGCGACCCGGTTCCGGATAAGCGGAGGAAAATGGATGAAATGTATAATTCAGAATCACCCTTTGCTATTTTAATATATTGCATTAAGCTCTGTAATATTATTAGTTTGTAATCAAATATATTTTTATGGTTATTTTTAAATTAAATATTTAATATTTTTAGTTGGTTGTTTTCCAGCATGTTGCACAAAAGCTCTGCTTAGTGTATTTACATTCAAAGACAAAATGTCCTGTTGATGTGCCTTTTGTGTGTTTTTACAGCTAATAACCAAAAGGATGAGAAGCTTAAGCCTCCACCTCCTCAGAGGAACATAGCAGCAAAACAAGAAATAAAGCGTCCTGCTGCTCTGCCTGTTGTGGGTTCTTCACCAGTAATACTGCCATTAACTGTGGCTGGAAATGCTGCAGCACCTAGTGTGACAGCAGTGACTCCACAGCCTGTTATCATCAATAACCAGGTACTGTTGAGTTACTCTTTCAAATAATGTGCAAAAACAGCAATAATCTGGTTATGTTGCAGTATGGTTGATGCATTAAGTACTACTATGTTGAAACCTTTTCAGGGCTTTATTGTCACCTCTCCGCAATTAGCAAACAGCAGTGAGTTTATTGCCTCCCTTGGGACGCATTACCCTCCAGGGACATCATTTACAATTGTCCCAGGTAAATCTGTCTTTCTTTTCTTTTCAACCTTATTTAACCAGGCAGGAAACTTGGTTAAACCTGAAGTCTCATTTTCACTGGTGCCTGATGTAAAACAGGCTTAAATTGCACTAACAAATTAATACCATACAAATATAAAGAATATACTGTATATAGAAACAAAAATCAAAATAAGACAGTCCAGTGTCACAGATCACCAAGGCTATCTGGCACACGCACATTATGCATAATGCATAACCCTATGATTTACTTTCAATCCTTAAAGTGCCAATGACATGCTCATTTCCAGCTATTCAGTGTTTAACCTTGGGTACCTCTAGATTAGCTTTGCACCCATCATAACTCCAAATAGTCTGTAATTATTTCAGGACGATAAAACCCGGTATCACAAGGAGAGCCTCCTCCTGAAAACAAGAGGATAATTTGTGAACAACTCCTCCCGTCAGGAGCATGAACAACAAAAATTCTGACAATGACACTACCTCAAATCTTACCGACATTCGAACCAGGAAGTGGACAGCACAAACTACAACGGCATTAATTAATATGAATCTCTCCTTTACAGATAGGTAAACAGCAGTATAAGTACTGATTAAAAAATTTGTTACACTTTAAACAAAGCGGGAAATTGAAAAACCATTTTAATTGGCATAATGCAGACATTGTAACTTCTCCAGCCTCACAACAATTCTCTCTACAGAAACAACATATTAACAGGCATGCAACATGTGTTTTTTTTTTTTTTAAATATATAAACAGCCAGGAGAATGTGACCATCTACAGAAATCTGTAAACTATTGCGTACAACTTTAGATGTTTGAGGATAAAGGTCTTGCCAGCAAGAGTTTGCGAGACTTGTATAAACCGAATTGCTTCTGCATAGAAGTAGAAGGTTGGCGGAACCTTTGACGGACTGCTGTTTCCTGCGGTAAACCGTACTCATTTCCTGTTTTCTGTATTTGCACTGCGTTGTGCTTGCTTCCAGATTGTTTAGGAATTAAACTCACTATTTTCTAGGTTCATCTGAATTTTTGAGTGACAACATACGCTTGCACCACTTAAAGCACTTGTTTTGCAGAAGTTCTTGCTAACTACCAAATTTAACTTGCTACTTTAGGTCGGCTAGTTTAGAAGCTAGCTAAGCTAGTAGCTTAATCGAGAGCAATGGCTTCCCCCTCTTCCTCTCCTCCTTTCTCTTGCTCGGAGTGTCACATGTTCAGTTATTCCTCTTCCTCCTTTAGCGGTAATGGTACTTGTCAGATGCTAGCAGATAAATGTCAGATGCTAGCAGCATTGGAGGCGAGGCTCCACGCCATGGAGAATAGGCCAGCTAGCTATTTTGATTTGATTTATTCTTTCAAACATGCAGAACAAATGATATCAACACACACATAATTACACAGATCCAACCAATGCTAATCCAGAATCAGTTTGCTTATACCTAGTACATGTTTGAATGGAGTAGGAAGAAGTCAGACTTATCCAGTCCTTCGCCATAACATCATGCCATACAAAACAATTTCATGCATCATTGGCTGCAAGCAGTATCTCTACATAGGTAATTCTCTTCTTCACCAGACAAGTAATACACAGAAAATTTAAAACAGAGTGTTTCCTTCATGCATTCTTGATTAAATCTCTTATTCTTGCATATATCTTGAATGACACATACATTTATATTTAAACTCCTCAATTCTAGTACTGTTCTTCATGTCCACACTTAATTTATTCCATAATTTGACCCCACTATAGAAACACAAAATCTTTTTTTGGTTGTATGTATAGCATGAACTTTTAGATTTAACTGACCCCTCAAATTATATCCCCCCTCCCTTTCATCAAATAACTTTTGGATTCCACCAGGTAATAAGTCGTTCCTGGCTTTATACATAAACACCGCAGTCTTATATTCCACCAAATCAAAGAATTTTAACAATTTAGACTGTATGAAAACTACATTTGTGTGATCCCT